ACTTCTACTGGAAAAACAATTTCACTTCCTACAATCAATGAAGTTGAAGGATATAAGACAACGGAGGATCTGATAAAATTTTTAGGCGACCAAGACTTAGGACTGGATGATGAGGATTTCAAATTTATTAATAAACAAAAAATTAAAGGTCAGAATTTCCTTAGATTGAATGCGGATAAATTGATGAATGATGGTTTAGAACGAGGTCCAGCTGAAACCATTGCTGAATTTATTGAGAAAATCAAGGGCGAAGGACAGGGTAAGTAGTACCACGACTGCATTCGAGGAAGCAAAGCTTCGAGTCTCTGACTCATATTCCAAACCTATTAACTTGGGCCTTATACGCGTGTTATATAGCTACGGGTAAGCACTATGAATATTTTAGTTTTCTCATTTTTTTATATTGTGATATCGTGAATGTTTGGTATATCGCTTACGTTGACTAATTTACAATTTTGCTTTTAGCCCCCTTATACTTTCAGTACCTCGCGTCAAAAGTTTATTGTGTTAGTTCCGGCGCCTGGGAGGATATTACTCAACTGCATGATTGTTTAAAAAAATGCTTCAATCTCGAGGGTCCATTGGAAAATTATGCGTTTTTTATTAATAATAAAGAAATGGATTTTGTCTGGACAAAAATGCAAATCATCGACTTTCTTAAACAACAGAAATGTTCGGGTGATAATCCAGTCAGGATATTTGGTAAAAAAGAAGGTATGATATTCAGCCATTAGCCAATCGCAAATAATCTGAACTAATATAATCTTATCTCGTTTACTTTGATACCTATTGCTACTTAGAGAAAGCCGATACAGATTCAAATAAGTTAATTGATTTTACGAAAGAAGAAAAGGAAGTCGTCCGAAAAGCTTTTGATAGAGCTTTTAAAGATCCAAGTGACCTTTCAAAAAGGTTTATGCTCTTTATTAACAAGTGTTTGCGTAAATACGAAACGACAAGTGAATATTATGCGCCATACACAACCTTAATTCAAGCCAGTGGCACAGGAAAATCCAAATTATTGATGAATTTTGCAGAAAATGTAATGACTGTATATTGTTGTTTGCGCGACTCCAAATCAAGTGGTTATCCATCCAGATCACATATTGCCAAAACACTATTAGATGAGTTTAATCATGAACGAAAAGCAATAGTTACCTACCTTGCATACATATGCGCATGTTTTCAAAAGATGCAGGAATTTAATGGGAGTTGCAAAAAATGGATTGATGAACATACTAACAACAATTCTCAGGAGGACTTCTGGAAAGATGTTGAACGTAGAATGACTAATATCATACTCGATCTTATGAAATATCAATCAGATAGAACAATGGCTGAAGGGATCAATAAATACTTTGATGGACAAAAAATAATAATAGGTGAAGGTTCAGTTAAATGTCTGTTTGCGTTCGATGAAGCTCGTACTCTGGTTAATCAAAAGGTTGAGGGTAAATCTCTGTTCTGCTATGTACGACGTGCTTTAAAGCTTCTACCCAAAAATGTAGGAATTTTTGCAATATTTACCGACACACACTTATCTATTTCGAACTTCACACCTGTTTACTACCTCGACCCATCCAAAAGAGTTGCAGAAGAAGGGTCTCAATTATTTAATCCTTTTTATTTGTTGGACACAGTGGATATAAATATAGAAATGATGGATATGAATAGAGAATTTAGATATGTTCCGAAGCTGAAAGAGTCTGAAAACCCGCAACATTTTTTTCAGTACGGAAGACCTTTGTGGGGTGCACTACTATCACCTTCTGATAAAGTTGAAGGATTCAAACCGGAACGTATTATAGAATTAGCCGTAGACAAGCTTATTGGTGGCAAGTCTTTCATTCATTGGAAAAAACAATCCCAAAACAACATTAGTA